AGCTTATCCTTTACAGCTCGGGAGTCCATTGATTTGTTTTGCATCGAAACAGAGGACAGAAATAAAAAGACTCTTTCGTCTCTGTAAGTTCTTCAGTTCAATTTTGTGAAATATTTTTACTCTGAGAGCTCAAATGCAAACTATTTTTTTTTATGAACGAAATATCTCCTTGTAAAAATGCACACATTTAAGGTGCTTGAGGCGTCCTTAACTTCCCTTTTTTGCGGCATTATACACGTCAGGATATGGCACTTCACTGCCTTTAGCTACCACTTATATTTTTAAGAGCACGCTCCAACATGTTATCCTCGTCTTTGAGACAGTTTTAGGATCTAGTCATTAAAGGTTGGATTATTAGTATTTTGTAAACTACATTTCTCGCTGCACAGACAAATATTGCCTTTTTAGTCCCTAATAGTCTTTATAATTGAGGCGTGTGGCGCAGTGGACTAGTGCGTTGGTGTTCGGATCAGGGGGGCACAGGTTCAAACCCCACTGCAGTCAGCATGTCGTTGTGTCCCCTGAGACAATTGTCCACAGTATTGAGTATGTAAGTCACTTTGGATAAAAGCGTCTAACAAGTGACATGTAATGTAAGACATTTCTAAAAGACTGCATACATTCCTTCTCTATGGGCCTGTTTTATTTTCACACGTGTCGTCCCGGGTGATATCCGTCCTCCTCTCACACATTGAGTCTCCAGTCATTGTTTACGCTGGTTTTAGCTTCTGTCCCACCAGCTGCCTCCTGGACCCCCTGCCAGTTCAACTTTGGCTAAGGCTGCCTTTACACGGGAACGTTTGCGTTTATGCACAGTATGCGTTTTCAAAAAAGTCTTCCGTTCACATGCATTCGTTTCATTTAACGTGTCTGTTCAAACGAGGCCGCTGGAAACGCTGTAGTACATATGCCGGGACTGTAAGTGGCGCTGTAACTTCCGCCACAAAATACACCAAAAGCAGCGAAGAAGACCCCGGAGCAGCCCCGGAGCAATGTTGCCATGGCTACCTTTCTCTTTATTCTCCGCGGTGGATTTAGCAACATGTAGTTCATGTAATTCTCCATGTCCACTTGTTGCTGATGGTTGTGGTAGAGGAGCTGTAGATGTTGCACTAACATCTGTAGCATGGTCGAGCTGTAGATGTTGTACTAACATCTGTAGTACAACATTGATTTGCAAATGTCTCTGACCACAAGCATTGCACACAATCATTTGTGACTTGTCATATTGGGCCGTATAATTAAACGTTTTATTGACTCGTTGCTGTTTGAAAGCAAATTAAGGAAGTTGATGTGGAACAAACGCTAGAAGCAGCTGCAGGGATGATATTGTTAGACAGTGGCGTAACGTAGGGCTTTAGACGGGGCCTTCAGTAAACAATTACAAAGCACAAACAGTACACACACTTAACACATCTCTGTTCCATAATCAAATAACGTGTACATTATGCCAAACCGTCTCTCAACAATCACAACAGTCAGCTAGATAAGGGTTAAAAGCAGACGACATGTCCCCACATTGATCAATGAAGTCATCTATTATTAAACTTGTGTCATCGTGCACTCTCACGTCGCTCTAAAATGACGCGAATAGTAACGTGCTCACCCGTCACTTGTAAATAAAGTCGATGCTACGAAGGAAGTCCATGACAGAAGTTTAGCTCAGGACACTGTGAACATCAACATCTGATTGGCTGATGAATCTGTCACTCATGCTTATTACCAATCAAATGTGTTGTCTTTCAACAAAAGGCTAGCAGTATCTGTTGTGCTAAAACTAAAATAACTCTGAGGCGTTTAAGTGACTTTTTGATGTAGGAAATTCCAGTTCAGCCTCAACAAAACCTTACTTCATTTTGTAATTGTGAGGATATTATACTATTAAAACGTATAACTAAATATTAAAGGTGGGGTAGGTAAGTTTGAGAAACCGGCTCGAGATACACTTTTTGTTATATTCCATGGAATGCTCTTAACATCCCGATAGCAATGAATATCTGAAGTGCTTTGACAAAAAATCCATAAAAAGTATCACCTGTGGAAGCTGTAGTACTGTAAAAAGCACGACCAATCATCTGAGCCGGCCCGGCTAAAGTAACTGGATGGCCTACCTGCCTGTCAGCCTTCCATCTGGGCACAAACTTATCTCGTGCCCTCATTGGTCATGTGCGCGTTCGTGTGTGTTGGAGGAGGGGCTCTGTGAGGAAGTGGCAGATTTTTTCCGGCTGTCTATTTTCAAATTCTAGCGCACTCCAGCTGGTTTCTCCAAAATTACCTACCCCACCTTTAATGAAAAACATTTGACACACACTTCATTGTATTGGTTACAGGGCCAGCAGAGACGGCCCTGCTGACGGCCCACCACGTTATAGATTTTCTGTGATCTTTATTCTGAGTCCAGGTCCATGGTGCCGACACAAGCCGGAACAAACAGGGACGAGCAAACCTGTGGTCTTGACTTGTTTTATTTTATGATCTTGTTCTGAAGAAGCTGGGTTTGTTGTAATCGTCCTAGCACGTCGGCAGGCATTTCGTGTAACCTCTTGATTAGTTTGCACATTTCTACGGAAAGGTGTGACTTTTTTCCTGGTTATTCCTGTATTTGACATCCACCATGACGTCGTTCCCCGCTTTATTCTTTTTGTTTTCTTATATTGCTTCGACTGGAGGAGGCTGGGACTTTAGATCTTCAATACAAGCACTTCTCTGGAGCTATATGTCGATAAAGACTTTGAGTTCAGGTACCCTTCAATCCAGGTTCAATATGAGCAGATACTTGAAGGTGGAGTAAAGCATTTGGGCATTTTGCACAAACCCCCATGTTTTTAAATAACTAGCATCAAAAGCAACTGCAACTTTTTACATTTCCTAAACCCAGATTTATGACCAAAAAGATCCAGGGACTACAAACCTATGAATTAAAGATGATTTTAGCAGCGCTTCTACGAAGAATGCCGACTACAGGGAGTATTATCTGCAGCGGCTCAGTCATCCCTCCTATTTTTTTATTTTGTATTTAACCTTTATTTAACCACATAAAGAGAAGTATATATGTGCAACTCCAGTCCATAGTTTAATGTCTCTGAAAGCGCGGCCATATCCTCAAAAAGAAAGATGTGCAAACTGAGTGTAGTACACGTGTTGAAATGTGTAAAAAATACACTCATTCATATTTTGAAAAGGCCAAGTTTATGAATTAAAAATAAGAAAATGTACAACATAAGGATATTGTACAAAAACAAGATACTATTCTATATATATATATTATCTGCAGTAATAATTGAAATAGAGAAACGTGTCTTTAAAGTGTCCGTAAAACAGAAAACAAAAGTAAAACCCAGACCAATGGCTTCAGTTGGTCATCTGTGCAGTGACTCAGTGAGAACAGTTTTTAGGGAGAAGGTTGAGTGACATGAGTCAACTTGCCCAGATTGACAATTCAACAAAAAAAAAAGTAACTTTGTGTCACCGTTAACAACTGTTTCACCTATTTGCTTTAGTTTCTGTTTCCACCCTGCTCGCCGCAACACAACAAATTAGCATGAAATTAAAATCTGCATGTGGGAATTTAAAAATAAACTTGTTAATTTGTGTGTGAATGTAGCAGACACTCAAAACACGGTCAGATGAAGGCAGTTGGGAGGCAAAGTGTGGTTCTGAAGGATCACCTATACTGCTGTCCTGGACACCCTGGTGCTTCAGTACTTTATAAAAAACATCCTTAAGAGACTTTTCCACACAGCAGCACATACTGGACACGGCTCGCGGAGATCGTGCCTGTAAAAAAAAAAGGGCAGCAAATGGGAAAGGTAAACATGTAAAAGCCTGAAGTGAAACTCTACACTTCTGCTTCTCAACACGCTCCGGATCCAGAGTCCAGGCCCGCTGTTTGCAACAAGCCCAGTTTGAATTGACGGACGTCGGTGGCAGCCAATCAGCGCCAAAGCCGTGTTGATTCCACTCAGCCGACCAATGGGAGTCGTGCTCAGCTGCGAGTGCGTCATCAGGGCAGAATGTGAAGCTGCTGTGTTACCGGATCACTCCCATCCCCCTGTCCACAGCGAGCAATGGCGGATGCCTTTTTTGCCGCTTTGTCCTTCTCATATTCAGCTTGTAAAAGCCATGTGTACAAAACTCGGTAAGGAAACAAATACGTGTTTGCCCTTGTGTTTCATAAGAATGCGTGTCAGTTCATGAGCACAGAAGTATGTTCTCGCACCTTGTCTCATCGCATGTTCTGTTATGTCGCACTGCTTTTTTTTTCTTTTTTTAAATCTCTCCCTCCTCCCACGACGGGGCTTTTTCTCGTGGGTTTCTTCTTCTAACAATGGGGGAGGAAATGAGACCACTGTTGTGCACCCCGCTCACTGAAGCACCCCTCACCACACTGTAGATTTGAAAACACGATGTGTTGTTTTATTCGTGTATCGACCTTGGGGCACGAATTTATGGATTGTTATGTAAAAAAAGAAGAAGCGTCAAGTGCGCAGATACAGAGATGAAGAGGGGAGGGGCGCGAGGAGCTGTGAGACATGGCGGCGGTGAAACACTGCGAGCCTTTGATGTTGACGAACAGCTCTTTGAAAGAGATACAGTAACGTTCCAAAAAAGATACACCAGCGTTTGAAAATGATACACTAACGTTCCATAAGGGAACAGCAACATCTAAGAGCCGTTAATCCACTAAAGTCCGTCACACACACCACCCCCCCCCCCCATGTTTGAAGAGTTGTTGCCTCGCTGTTCTCCGGTGGGCGGGAGAAGCCGCTTGACTCGACCAGATGAACATCAATCAATCAAATCGTGACACTTACGTCAACCTATTCGATATATGTACTGCGTGATTCGGTGGGAAAAGTGAGAAATGCGTCGGCTGTCCTGTGTGTGTGTGGGGGGGGGGGGACAGCTGTATGATTTAGTCCGTTATTGTCCCGTTTAATCGGTGTGGGTTATTGTTTTTTAGTGGAGAAAGGGACGGTTGCAGCGACGGACAGGAGGGGGGCGTGGCCTCCGGGTTTAGAAATTCGACCCATTGTTCCACTCCAACGCGCGAAGAGAACACCTCTGTGAAGCTCTCAGCCAATCAGCGAGCACCTGCCTCCTCTGGACCCCGCCCACCAGCCTATATTAAAGGCTCGGCCGTCAGCAGCGTTGGCCACTGGCACAATATAAACCTGATTGATCCACTCACCGAGGAGAGGGATTTACTTTATTCAACCTTTCATTTGTAGCCGTCATTTATTTTATTCTACTAAAACAATGGCAGACACAAAAGTGGACTCCGGGTCGGATATCTCTGCCAAGGTAAGCCTCCTCACCCCCCTCTGGGTCTCCATCACACAGGATGAAGCTTCTCCAGGCTGTAACCTAGATAATTTAATTTTAATGTTTCGTCGTCGCTTCGCGCTCATTCGGACTCACAAGTCTGCGGGACACCGGGGGGGCAGAGAGACCGGGGAACAGCCGGTGTTCACGTCTTTTTCTCCAAACACTTGATGGAAAATAGTCCAGATTGAAAGCGGGGGTCTCGGCACCTCATCATGGAAACGCGTCTCATTGTCCGGAGAGGAACAGCTCGCGCGGGTTCTTTGTTTATCCCGAGGCTCGGTTCCCCTCCTCCGGACCGGGCTGGATGTGTCTGTGTCAAACAGTCCACATGCAAATCATCTCATTTTTTTTTAACGCCATCCGTCCCAAACAGCCGCCTCTCCGCCGCGCTCTCCCCGCTTTATGGCTCTTTATCCCCGGCTCTAAATGCCCAAATGACGCGCCTATTCACTCCAGGTTCCCGGCTGGCTAATGCCAATTAATTCCTTCCAAAGCAAATCCCGCGTCCAGTTTTAAGAGACACGCTTTTACCCCGGGGTTAGTTTGATCAGGAGAGTGACCCGGAGCTGAGCCGCGGAGGAACGGAGGTGCTCCGGGGCTCCGGGGCTGTTGAAAGTCGGTTTGAATGGAGGTCTGGCTGTGCGTAATGTCCACTCTGCGGTGCCAGCCGTCTTTAGGTCGCTTCACGTTTGTTTTTAAAAGGCACCGACGGGCCTGCCTGCTCCGTCAGACCCGGTTTGTTTACCGACACAGGAAGGTCGTCCAGCCTCCGGTTACCGGAGAGGACGCGCAGCTCCACGGCTTCCGCTTCTTCTACTGCGTTTTCAAGCATGTTTGCAGAGCGCGTTTCTGTCTCAGGGGGAAAGTTTTTCTGTATTGCAGCCCACTTCTCTCCTGTGTGTGTTTGTGTGTGTGTGTGCGCGCGCGCGTCCGGGCTGTGGAGGTGTGATGTGACGGTGCTGGTTTCCCCCCTCTTTGTGCTCCGTTTCCTCCTTCCATCCACCTATCTCTGTCCCAAATGTTAATGTTCGTGCAGTTGGACTTTGGATCACTCCGGGTAAAACTTTCATATAATGGAGTCCGGTCCCCGGGCTAAGAGCAGCAGCGAGCCCCGGAGCTGAATAATTATGAGTGATTATGACGAGGGAGCATATGGAGAAGGTGGAGAGGGAAAAGTTGGGGCCCGGTATTAGAGCTGATAATCCGGGGTGCCTGCTAACACTCTATTTATAGTTTGGAGCGTTTTTACGCACAAGCGCCTTTTTACGCACAGTCTGTGAGAGAGAGGGAGAGATAGAGCTCCACTCAGCCTCATTTGTCTCCCGCCGAGGAGCAGCTGATGCTCCTAAACAGCTTAATGGATTTTAAGCAATAAGATTATGTAAAGTAATTAATCAACAGGGCATGTGTGCCGCGGGGATAAAAGGCTGCGAACGGACCGCGGCGACACAACGAGGAAACGGCGCGCTATTACGCGGTTCTCCCTGTATGTAGGGCGCAAAGCAGCCGTGTGTGTGTTTGAGACGGTGGGTGTGTGTTTGAGACGGTGGGTGTGTGTGTGTGTATCGGTGCCTGTGTTACTCTCTCTTCTCTCGCCTGCCATGTGTCGTCTCTATTGTCTCTCCGTTACAACCAGCAGCGCCCCCCCCCCCTCCTCCTCCTCCATCACACACCCCCTCCCTGTTGCCCTCCTGTGTTATTTTAAATGGAGCAGTGCATCCTGGGATATGCAGTGCCTCTGCCGGGCGTGTCTCGTGACATATGGTGGCGACGGCAGCCCGCTGAAGACTACAATACCCATAGTGCCCCGGGGCCACATCAAAGTATCAGATTACAACACATTGGAGGGGGAAGAGGATGGGGGAGGTTCTCAGAGAGCAATATGGAGTTTAAACAGGAAGGCTTCACTCTGACGGGGCTGAACAGATCTCCCAGCATGCACCAGGGCTCCTAACTAGGCCATTAGGTAGAAGGGCATCCTGGAAGAGTTTGAGAAGCACACTCTCTTATTGGATTTATTGAGTTGTCCCTCTGGTTTCCTGCAGGACCTGAAGGAGAAGAAGCTCCTGGAGGACAAGGAGAACGGGAAGGAGACCGCCACCAACGGAAAGGTACCCGACATTCCTCTGCTCTCACGTTCACTTCAGAGCAGAGACTCAGGGAGTTAACTTTATTTATGTTTTCCAGGAGAATGAGGAGAACGGCGAGCCCGAGGTAGATGATGAAGATGATGATGAAGTGGATGAGGAGGAGGAGGAAGATGACGTAGAAGGTAAACCAAAAGATTCTGTGATTTTTCAGGATTAAATGTTTTCTGAAAGTTGTTCAAAAAGCTAATTGGTCTCTTCCAGCCGGCGATGAGGAAGACGAGGAGGACGATGACGATGAACTCGAGGGCGGCACAAAACGGCCAGCTGACGACGACGATGACGACGATGAGGTGCGCCCCCCCCCGACCTTCATCAATGATAATCCGACCAATCAGGAGCCTTTAACTGAACCCTTCTTCTTCTTCTCTTCTCGCAGGATGACGTTGAAACCAAGAAGCAGAAAACCGACGACGACGATTGATGCGTTTCCCTCGCTCGCGACTTCCCGCTAAATCACTTCCTGCTTCTCCGCCTGCGACCGTTTTCATTGGTCGCAGCTGGAGGGGCGGGAGGACTGATTCAAAAGGAAAGAAAATTATAATAAAGTCAAAAAAAAAAAAATCCAACATGGTCATTAGCAAGTAGAGTTCAACAAACATCTACACACACACACACACACACACACACACACACACTCACACTCGTATCCCCGCAAAACTAATTTTCTAGAGCCACCACATGGCCCCAGAAATCCGGCTTCTCTTCAACAACAACCACAACAAAGGAGAATTTGTTTGTATTTTTATTTACATTTTATATTTTTGTACATATTGTTCGGAGGGGGGGGGGGGGGGGTCAGTTTCTCTCTCGGCAGCGATCTCGTCCGACCACACCGGTGCTTCTTTGACTTGGTTGACCGTGTTAGGATATCTCAACAGAAAACAAACCCAGAAGACGAACCTCTCGAAGCCGTTGAACTCAGAGCATTCCAGTAAATGTCATGTATGTACTTTAGCTGTACCATAACTAGTCTGTTTGTATCGGGGGGGGAGGGGGGCAGAGGGAAGAGCCGCTTTGCTTTTCCTGTTGATTTCTGTTTTTGTTCTGACGGCCTGTTTTGATGTACGTGCGAAGTTTGTTGTTTGACAATAAACCGGACTTTTATTTTGTGAGTTGTACTTTGTGTCTCTGCTTGTTTCTTCCTCACAGAGACGTCCAGGACCACGGGGCGAGGGTCAGTGCTGCACCTGGAGTACACGTGTGAAGTACTGTAGTATTACCATTTCAGTGCATCAGTATAAGTAACCCTTACATGCAAAGTGTGTACATTATAGAGTACTTCTCCTACATTAAGTACATTAATCCAGTTATTTTACTTTACTTAAGGAAACTAATATGATTAAAATTATCAAATATATCGTGCATGCATCAGTAGAAAATATATTATTGATGCACATCCTGAATTACAGCATTTTGCACAGAGTACTTTTGATATTTAAGTACATTTTTTCTTACACTGCTTTTATTTTGAAAGCAGGACTCGAACCGGCAGTGGGGTAAATGCCACATGTTTGTCTTCAGTTTGACAATATCATAATGTGCATAAAGACATTACTCCATTTTGATGAATATATTTTAAATGGCACTTTCAGAATGACAACATTTTACATTTACAGTACTTTTACTTTTCTTACTTTAAGTACATTTTTACTTTGTGGACTTTTATTTTTGAATACAATACTTGAACTGGCAGTGAAGTATTTTTAACTTACTGTATTCTACTTTTTTATTAAAGTACAACCGAGTACTTCTTCAACCACTGGTAGTTTTATCTACTAGTACTGAAGTATTTCTTTATTACACTACATTTCTCTATTTAACAATACGATGTTATATTAGAAACATGAGCTTATAAAATACAAATACAACTCTGAGGGAATATTACTCATACTTTACAGAGGTGGGAGAGTACTCAGATCTTGTACTTGAGTAAAAGTAGAAGTACTCAGATCTTGTACTTGAGTAAAAGTAGACGTACTCAGATCTTGTACTTGAGTAAAAGTAAAAGTACTCAGATCTTGTACTTGAGTAAAAGTAAAAGTACTCAGATATTGTACTTGAGTAAAAGTAGAAGTACTCAGATCTTGTACTTGAGTAAAAGTACTCAGATCTTGTACTTGAGTAAAAGTAGAAGTACTCAGATATTGTACTTGAGTAAAAGTAGAAGTACTCAGATCTTGTACTTGAGTAAAAGTAGAAGTACCAGAGTGTAGGAATACTCTGTTACAGTAAAAGTCCTGCATTCAAAATGTTCCTCAAGTGAAAGTAGAAAAGTATTATCATCAAAATATAGTGAAAGTAGCGACAGTAAAAGTAGTCATTGTGCAGATTGGTCCATTTCAGAATAATATATATGATATGTTTTATAATGATTGATCATGAAAGTGTTCTCAAAGCTGGTAAAGGTGCAGCTAGTTTGAATGACTTTGTATACTGCAGGGTAGCTTGTGGATTTACTCCAGGTGGAACTAAAGTCTGATTTAACACTTGATTATATTTCACATCATTCATCCACATCTGTGAAGTAACTAAAGGTATTCAATACATGTAGTGGAGGAAAAGTACATCATTTACCTCTGAACTGTAGTGGAGAAGAAGAATACAGAAGCAACACATGGAAATACTCAGGTAAAGTCCCGTAGTACTTGAGTAAATGTACTTAGTTACTTCCCACATCAAGTTACTTAGCATATAAAACATGTTGCATTAATATGACTAAACAAGTGTTACCCAACCTTTATAAAATACGATGCAGAATCAAACGTGGCTTGCAGATGAGAGTATATAAATATGTGTTAAAAATAAACGACTTGAATCCAGAGTACTTTTACTTTACGTATGCTATATGTTGTTTGTAACACATCTGTAGTTTTAATGTTGGTAGTATTATGTGAAAGTGTTAATACGTGGAGATGATCCTTCTGACTGAACGTGTGAGGATCAGAAAGGTTGAGATTATGTCCTGCTGTAATCCCAAACCACATGAACCTGCGTATGTTGTTCAAATGTCCCGACATCCGTAACACTCAGACGACTAGACTAGTGTTTAAATAAAGTGAGCCGTCTAACCTCAGTAACATAACTTCAATGAAGTAAAGAAGTGTCATGGTAATGTTGAGCATTAGCATGGTTAATGCTAAGGCTGATTAATGCTGCACTTTCACTTGGAATGGAGTATTTCCACACTAACATATAACAACACAAACTATGCTATAATAGAAGAATAGAATAGGGAGGGATGAAACCCTCTTTAATGGTCTCACATGCAGAGCACACAGCACACAGTGAAATTTGGCCTCTGCTTTTAACCCATCCTAGTACAAGGAGTCTAGTACTAGGAGCAGTGGGCAGCTATTGTACAGTGCCCGGGGAGCAATGGGAGTGGGGGGGAAGGGGGGTGTCCGGTGCCTTGCTCAAGGGCACCACGGCAGGGCAGGAGGTGAATTGGGACCTCTCCAAGTAGAAGTCCACACTCCATATTTAGGTCTGGTCGGGGACTTGAACCAGCGACCCTACGGCTCACAGTCACAGCTCACAGTCCAAGCCCCTACTGACTGAGCCACCCCTTGTTGTGAAATACCAATTATGTGCAATATATATTTCAATCAGGAGAGACTTCATTTTGTTTAAAGAATATTTATTGTATCAACAACTTCTACACATGTCATATGATAAATGTTAAGTCTTTGGGGATTAGACCCCGATCCTGAAAGGGCATATCTAAAGGGGAAATGCAGCCGTGAGCATATAGGGAACCCCCCGGGGGCTAGACACTGGTGATGATGATGAAGATCTGGATTTGATGAGGAGATGGGATGAAGAGGAGGTGTGATGAGGTCTTTGGATTAGCTCTCCTGGCACTGGATGTGATGAAAGGAGGTGGATGGGGAGGAGGTGGATGGGGAGGAGGCGGATGGGGAGGAGGTGGATGGGGAGGAGGCGGATGGGGAGGAGGCGGATGGGGAGGAGGCGGATGGGGAGGAGGTGGAGAAGGTGGATGGGGAGGAGGTGGATGGGGAGAAGGTGGATGGGGAGGAGGTGGATGGGGAGGAGGTGGATGGGGAGGAGGTGGATGGGGAGGAGGCGGATGGGGAGGAGGTGGATGGGGAGGAGGTGGATGGGGAGGAGGTGGATGGGGAGGAGGTGGATGGGGAGGAGGTGGATGGGGAGGAGGTGGATGGGGAGGAGGTGGATGGGGAGGAGGCGGATGGGGAGGAGGTGGAGAAGGTGTGATGGGGAGGAGGCGGGCAGCAGCAGGACCTGAAATCACAGCTGAGTGCAGGAGAGAGGAGAACCATTTTAAAGTTTGGCTGCAGCACGGTGATTGGCTGCTGGAGAATGAGGTGAATGTGATAGGTTAACAGAACGCCCGTGATGAGCTGATCATAAGCAGCTGCAGAGTGAATATACCCAGTCTTCCTGAAAGATCTCGCGCTGAGCTTCATATAAGCCGTTAATAACTGCAATATACACCTGATGCTGTATCTTCAGAACTGTTAGAGGATGTGTGTTTTGTAAATTGTGTCATTTTTTAAATTGTTTTGTCTTTCATTTTCTTCATAGTTAACATTAAACTGTCGTTGGCTCTTTCCTTCTGTAACAATGTGAATGTCCCCTCTGTGGGACGGATACGGTGATTCTGATGATGATGATGATGTGAGTTATTCTGTTACCAATGACAGCACTGCTCTCTAGTGGTGCATGATGGTAGTTGTAGTATTCAGTGGATTGTGCAGCGTTAGTGTTTGAGACGTTTCTCTGAATGATGCAGGTCATATCTGGGTATTGTCATTTTTAATTAGGCAAAATTAAACTGCTTCCATTGCTGTTATTTTTTATAACTTAAATAATTGTAGTTCTAATTTTTTTTAAATAACTTGTAACATTGTGGTATCTCTGTCTTTGTTCAGTCATGTAGCTGCAGGCCTGAAGCTGGAGAGGAATGACACACACACACACACACACACACACACACACACACACACACACACACACACACACACACACACACACACACACACACACACACACACACACACACACACAAGCTGCACGACAGGAACTCCTGCTGGATGTTTTTCTTGTGAATAAAGATCACATTTTTTTTTAAGTATTTATTATACTTGAATCCACTCTCTCTCTGAATGAGCTGCTCAGTTCAGATTTCTGTTAGTTATTATTTAGCAAAACCAAAAAAATAACCAGCAGAAGTGACTTTAGCTCAAAGTGAAATAATAAAAATAATGAATATTTAATTGATTCTGCTTTTTTGTATTTAACATTTTCTGTTCATGATGGGATTAAACAATACAATAAAACATACATTGAACATGACATGTGGGTCTATTGTATAACTTTTTAGTATTGTTTTTATTATAATACAACTTCATCTTTCAATTGTATTATTTTTTAAATACAAATATGATTGAAGTAGTATTTCAAGTACTCTTTTATCATTTGTATCATTGTATCTGCATTAGAGTTGAGTAGCACCCTCAAGTGGTGCATGCTGGGAATTCAACCACCTGACTTCATGCAACAAGAAAGAGAGACATTTCAAAGAAGTAAATACCAAATAGGAAAGCACAGAAACAATTCAACATTTAGAGATGGTGTTCATGTGTCTTTCCCCTTTCACCTGAACTCACTGCTTTTCATTCATTCTCTAAAAACAGACACATTCTAAGGTCTTTAATAAAAAAAAAAAATGCCAGAATGAGTCTTTAAAAAATCAGCAGAAGAACGACGGCTCGCCTGATAATTAGAAACTGAAGATAACTCGTTCTCCAAGGTTTTAAACGCAGCAAACTGAGCCAGGATGTCCTCATGAAGCGTGTTTCAGACCCCCTGCAGGCTTCAGACCCTCATCAGGAGAGAAGTCAGACCCCCTGCAGGCTTCAGACCCTCATCAGGAGAGAAGTCAGGCCTCCTGCAGGCTTCAGACCCTCATCAGGAGAGAAGTCAGGCCGCCTGCAGGCTTCAGACCCTCATCAGGAGAGAAGTCAGACCCCCTGCAGGCTTCAGACCCTCATCAGGAGAGAAGTCAGACCCCCTGCAGGCTTCAGACCCTCATCAGGAGAGAAGTCAGGCCGCCTGCAGGCTTCAGACCCTCATCAGG